TAAAAAAATATAAAGAACTGCAGCAAGAAAAGCCAGTGCGTGATAATTTATATTAAACTGCTGGCTCCACGCACAAGGCACAGGCTACAAGGCTGCCACAAGGCACAGGCCACACGGCCGCCCCAAGGCACAGACCACATGGCAGCTGCAAGGCACAGGCCACGGCTAAGGAAGGGAGGGTTCGTGCCAAGCCGAACTCGAGCGGGGGAAGGAGAGGTCCTAAAAGCCAAACGTTCGGGCGCCAGATGAAGGCGTAAGTCACGAACAAGGCCACACCAGTTTGGAGGTATGATTAATAGGGTGTTATTTATTTAAAGGGGAAAACTTACAGATCACCATCTCAGACAACAGCCATCTGCACAACCGGGAAGGGAGTCTAGTCTCCGGTGGAGCAGGAAGTGAAGAAAGTGAGCAGAGGAAATAGCCTTTTTTAAAGGGAGAGAGGCCACGCCCCAATGGGCTGGTATCACAGCAGCTATTGGTTGGAGGGGTGGAAGGACCTCCTGCAACACCTAGCTGTTCATCTGTCATGCGGCAGCATGGGCAATGGAGAGATGCCCTCTCGCCCTTCACCTCTTGCCTCCTGCAGCATATAAGGGAACTGATCCTCCCCCCCCACACACACACCAGCTGCAGCTCTAGGGAGAGCGGGCCCTGCACTTTGCCTGGGCAACGGAGTAGAGCTGATCCTGTGGATGGGAGCTTGGGTGAGCTGGCTGGAGAAGATGAGTGTGGGAGATCTGGCCCCACCCCTCATCGGCCATAGAGTGATGTGGGTGAGGGAGAGAAGCTCCCGCTTGCCCCTTGCTACCTGTGGCCTTTGGGAGAGCTGGCCTTCAGGTCACAGGAGCAGGAGAGCTGCCCCTGCGCCTCACCTGGGCAACACAGCAGAGCTGGCCCTGATGGTGCAGGTGTGGGCAAGCCAGCCCAGAGGGTGTGAAAGCAGAACTGGTCCCACCCCTTGCTTCTTGTTCCATAGGGTGAAGTAGTTGGGGGCAACTCTGGAGAGCTCACCCTGGTGGTGAGGATAGGGGAGGACCCGGAGACTGATCAACCCTGCAATTACCCAGGCCCAGAACCAGGGCTATGAATTGTTCTACTTCCTCTTTGATCTGCTGGAGAACATGAAGAGGCAGGTCCAAAGCTGCAGGATCTCCATGGCACAGGGCAACAACAGGATATCCAAGAGGGCCCAGTATCAACGGTGCGGCAGATACCAAAGTCCTCAAGCCAGACCAATGACTCATTGCAATGAACACTTGCGGGTAAAGATGTATGGACTAAAGGATATACTGTCACACTACAGCTTCCACGACATGATTCCCTCCCTCTCTCTCTCTCTCTCTCTCTCTCTCTCTCTCTCTCTCTCTCTCTCTCTCTCTCTCTCTCTCTCGCCTTTAAATTTTATTTTATTGAGGGCAGAGGATGCAAGGGCAGAGGGTGGATACAAAAGGCCAGGAAGATAAATGGGATTGAGGTGCATGATGTAAAAGAGACAAAGAATAAAAAAGTTAGACATAGAAGGCCAGGCAGACGCCAGGGATCTGCACCACCGCCTGGGGCCATGTTGGTGTCCGAGGGCCACTCTGCCATGAAGGCCATGCTGATCTGAGTGTACTGTGTTGCCACCTGGGACCATGGTGACAACTGAGCCCAGGCTGCTGCCAGGGGCTATGTCTGGGTGCCTGGTTCCACTCAGCCAGTGGCTCGTGGTGCCAACAAAGGCCACATGGATACCTGGGTTCTAGACCAATTCTGTGTCCATGTTGGTGTTCAAGGGCCATGCTCACTGTTGATCTGCGTGACCTGCACTACCCCACATGGTCATGGTGTTGTCTGGACCCATATTGTGCTGTGGACCATGTCCAGGTCTATTCCTGGCAGCAGCCAGGATCTGGCTTGAAGTCCACTGCACATGTTACCACAGGGCTTCATAGGAACCATGCATGCTGAAATCCTAGTGCTGTGTTGAGCCAGCCCTGCTTCTCATTGGCCCTGGGATAAGCCAGTCCTGCCCCTTACTGGACCCTGCATCAAGAGACCTGTCCCCACTCCCCATGGAGAGAGTTGGCCCTTGGCACTCAGGAGAGAGAGCCCTACCCCTCACCACAGGCATGAGAGAGCTGGCTCTGTACCTCACTTGAGCAGGGCCACCCCAGAGGTTGGACTGACCAACTCGGCTACCACCCAGTCCCACACCATGGGTCTTGGGTTGACCCACCCTACCCATCTATCTAGCCCATCTATGACCTGCTTGAGTGAAGGGACCAGTCAAGAAGAGTTCACTGAGGGTTCATTGATGATGGTGTGCCAGAGGCCTTGAACCAGACCAGACTCATTGCAATGGACATTTTGTGGGTGGGGCTGATTGGACAAGAGGATATACTGCTTGACACACCACAGCTCCAGATGCCGCTAGGATGATTGAAGAGGTGTTGGAGACAGAGGAGTGAGGTGGGCTTTTTGTTGCTGTTTTGTTTTGAATTAATTTTGGGAGGAGATTCTTTTGAGGTGACATGCTGCAGGGGTGAGGGGAAATATGGAAGGACTAAAAGATCAGGATTGGTGTGCATGATGTGAAATTCCCAAGGAATCAAAAAAGAATTGTGTTAAAAAGTTCTTCTGCCAGGCAGTGGTGGCACATGCGTTTAATCCCAGCACTCGGGAGGCAGAGGCAGGTGGATCTCTGTGAGTTCAAGGCCAGCTTTGGCTACAAGAACTAGTTCCAGGACAGGCTTCAAAGCTACAGAGAAACCCTGTCTTGAAAAACCAAAAAAAAAAAAAAGTTTCTCTACCATCGAGATGAATATATTACTCAGGCATCAGGCATCCATCTAACAGATAATTATTAATAATCTAGTCTTTACTGTAGGCATAGAACTCCTCCCCATGTGCCTAAATCTGTGGCTGACTTGTCACAGATAAAATGAATACCACCGATATAAACTTGAGCTGATAGTTTGCGGCTCAGCGATAGCTATAGAGGTGAGAACACAAGGTAGCTGGGCACACTGTGCCATAGTCAGAGAACAATTGAATAAACATTGCTCAGCTCCCTTTCTCAGAATTCTTTCCCATTTTATCCAGTCAGGGACCTAAACAAGGGCACGGAGCCACCCACAATCCTTTACCAACTGGGTCTTTCCTCTTCAGTTAAGTGTTTCTAAAAATACTCACAGAAGAGCCTAGAATTCCTCTATGTAATCACAAATCTAGTCAAATCAGCAGTAGAGAGTATCAGCATGATTGAGGAGGAAAATAAAGAGAAGACTCCCCTGGAGAAGACACCAGTCGCCATTGTATCCCAGCTCCTCCAGACGAAGCCCCCCATTTACACCACATTAGTCAACATGTTTTAATAGATCTCTTTGCAAAGGTTTTAGATGTATATTACATCGTTTATATTATTTTAGTCATACATTTCAAAAATAAAGAAGCTCAAATTTCTAAATATCGTTATTTGTTCCCATAAAGAAAAATCATATAAAAAGGACTGGATACAAAAACAATAGAGAAAGAAATTATTAGCTGTGTGACTGGTTCTCTTGGGTCCTAATCATATCTCTCTAGGTGTTGGCGGAAGTCATATATTGATAGACTATATAGTCTTAAATGTATTTGGAACCAACATTAGCACCCATTCTTCTTTGCTGCATCCAAATCCTAAATTATAAGGTAACAACTCATAAAATTTAGATATTGGATAGATGCTGTTCAAATTTAATGGCACTGTTTCTCTCACTATTCTTTTATTCAGTTATTAGCACAAATTCCATGTGAAGGAGCAATAAGCAATGTCGAGAATTCTCTAGCACCCATCAATCAGCATGGACACCAGTATGTTCATGTCAACAGTAACGTGCTCTTTGAATGGCTGATTTCTAGCTGTTTCATTCAAAAGTCATGCAACCAGAAGTGCTGATGTTTTATAGACAAAATGTCTAGGGTTTTCTTCCAATAGGATATAGGAGTAGAGCCTTGCACAGTGGCAGGCAATGAGGTTTATCTAAGGCACAATTGTTGCTAATTAGAACGCAGAAGTAGAGGGTACAACAGATTGTTAGTTACCGATAACTGAGAAGCTGGGAGGATGGATGCAGAAAGACTCAAGAGATTACATATACTGCATTGAAATTTATCATAAAACGTTCAATTACATGGAGTGTCACCAAAAAATTTTACTGCTGCTTATTCTAAATGGTAAAAAATCTATCACCATGCTTGGGCACAAGTTTTTTCTCTAAAGAAACGCCAAATATAGTTTTCAGTACGTCTTCTATTTCTTCCTCCTTCAGACTCTTAAATTCTACAAGATCTATGTTGTCCTTGTAACTGAATCTCCTATAGGTGAGGGTGGATCCCACCAAGCAGTGAACCCCCTCTGGGGTCTGCAAGGAACAAAATGACTTGCTTGTAAACACAGATGCTGGCGACGTCTGGAGGTAGATATTCATGGACTCGAAGTCCTCAATAGTGCGCGGCTCCAGAGTGAAAGAGTAGATTTTCCGATACTCGTTCTTCTCAAGGAGGTCGGAGTTAACAAATTCTTGGTTTGGAATATACTGCTCTCTTCTGATTTGGTCCAAGTACCAGGTTCCATTCTCTTCCGTCAAACGGAAGATGGCAGGCACCTGAGGCTGATCCTTCCCAGATGCTAATTCTAGAGGTTCCCACATCTGGTAAGAACGTCCAAATCCAGCATCAACAATATAGTTCCTGTCACTGATGGTCACCTGGACCAGAAGGTGAATCATACCAGTGCTGTATTTATTGGCTGGAGCGTTAAAGACATAGCCTCCCAACATTGTGGTTTCAAAGCCCATTTTAGTCAGAGCCCAGTACAGGAGATGATTGACCTGGAGACACCACCCACCCCTCTTCTTCCTCACAATTTGATCAAAGATGGCCTCTAAGCTCAGCTCCATGGGTTCCCCACAATGGATGTTCAAGTTCTCAAAGGGAACAGCTCGTATCTGGTGCTGAAGGATTTCAGTTAATGTTTGCAAGTCCAGTTTGTTCCTGGAGTTCTGATAACCAATTCGTTCAAAGTATGCTTCAATGTCCATGGTTCGCTAAGGCAAGGAAAACAATCCAAAACAAATATTACCACTAAAGTGGAATAAGTACAGTCAAAACTCATTTTCAGTTTATAAATACAGACAATGCTTACAACAATCTATGTTTATTTTGTCCTATTAAATGAACCGACACACGATCAATGTTCATAACACCTAGACAAGTGTAGAATACTCTCTGTGTGTCAGGATGAATGTTTTCTCTTTTCCTTCAAATACAGGCTAAGTGTTGAGGCAGACAATAAACTGCTTAGAGGTAGGGTGCTCTGTAGCCTTTTCTGTCTATGCTCAATACAGGGCCAAAGTAAAAAGAGCCAGACGAGGGTAAGTAACAAAAAGATTCCACTCAGAATCCATTAAATAGGCTTCTGCACAGTTGCCTATAAAATCAGAACTGTGCACCACGGTACACAGTTGTCATGGTACCACTTACGTAAGCATTAAACATCTAACACCCAGAAAGAACAAATAGAATTTAGTTAGATGTCCCCAGCACCTGTTTGCCTCCTTGTTCGGATTTGTATGGAATCTATGGGGGAAGCGAAGAGACTGGGTGGTGGCTAAGGCATGACTAGGCAGCTAGCTGACTGTTGCTTCCCCAGGACTGGGGAAGAAGGGTGAGATGACAACGCACAGAGGATGGGACTGGAGCAAACACTTGGAAACCGTAACAGGCATCACAGTAAGATAACAGAAACTGTGGAATAAGCAACAGCCAGATTTTGTGTTTGGTTTCAAGACTAAGTTTTGAGTTGGAATTCAGATTTAGTAACTGTGGGTTCATTATAATTAAGTCAGCTTTTGCTAGGAGCTCAACACTAGCTATATGTTGTAAACAAATCATACCTGGGTATATTGTGACTAAATATATTTCAGTTGTATACTGATGAAGCTGGGCACAAGGTAAAATCTTGTGAGTTCCTGGAGTGGAGTTGGTAGGGAAGGAGATGTGTGGAAAATGTGATTAGTTTTACACGCAGGCTAGCAGAGTCCCCGTGGAAGGACAGACCCTCGCTTCAGCCTGATCATCAATGTAGACAAGACGTAGATAAGGCGGGAGAACATACTTAGATCCTTTGAGATTTCTTAGAAAATGGTTTTTTATATGTATCAGTTCAAAGTAGGCTGTTGGCTTTAATTCAAACAGTATCAGAATGTTTCTTCTTCCTGGTACAAACTCTAGAAAGGAAAGCTTAAAAATGAACTATAACATGGGCTGGGAGGACAGCTTAGAGAGAGGAGAGCACTTGACTCCAAGCTTGAAAACCTGAATTTGATCCTCATAACTTGGAAGATGGATAGAGAAAACCAGCTCCCACAAATTTTCAGCCCCATACATCATGGTATACAATCCCCAAGTAAATGTAAAATGCTAAATTGGTATTACTTTTCTTTAAAGAAAGGGGTAGTTGTTTGCAGCATAAATAATGTTACAAACATAGAGTATGAATTGCATTGAAGGGAACCTCTGAGCTACATAGGGAAGCCTGTAGAAAGTGTGATGTTGAGAGATGGTAGTACCATGATAGGCTCTCAGTCTGGGACTTCCAGAAGGACCTGGATGTTCTCCTAAGTACAGGGTTCAGAACCAGCAATGCACACCATTAGTTGGCATAGGAACAGCATAGAGAGATGAAGCCTGTTTGATGTCCCTGATTACAGTTTGTACAGTGGCCTTCCTTGAGGTGACAGCTATAGCAGGGGACTAAGGGCAGGAAAAGACAGTGACAGTCTTAATGTGGTTGCCATCGGAGAAGGAGAGGGATGTGGTGATATCCTGTTTGTATACTAGCAAAGTTGTCTGACGATCAGAAGGTGGAGCTAGCCACTAGTTAACCATAGAGGTCTGGAGGTCTGTACAGACAGACAGGAAATGATATGGCTGGGCATAGAGAGGAATATAACGCGGAGGAGAAGGGAGCCTTGTCTCTTTTTAGTCTGAGGACTTTGTGGAAGGTAAGAGCTCTAGCAGCTGGCTGCTCTGCTTCTCTGATCTTTCAGTTTGCACCCCCTGATATCTGACTCCAGGTTTTTATTATTAAGACCAATTAGAATTCGTGCTTCAGAGGGACAATTTCCTTGTGGAAGACATGTCACCAAGCAATCTCCTGTCATATTTGATTCTCTCGCCTCTTCTGATATGAAGTCCAAACCCGATTCTGGATAGACACTTCACCAGTCAAACTGGATTCAAGGAGGAAATTAAGAGTTCCACATGCAAAGTTACACACGCATGATTAAATAAAGTGAAACAACAAATGAAAATATATCAAGAGGCTGGCACTAGCAGAAGAGATATGACGTGCACGTCCGAAAGAACTAATGGGAAAAAGAACTAGAAGTTCTTCACAGAGGTGACAGACATATGGTGACTGAACAATGTGGTTTATGCAAAGAAACACTTCAAACTTAGACTTATTAAAGACATAAAGCAAGATATTAGTTATGATAAAAAGCACTCTATAGATAGAACATAATAACACACCGAGAATGCAGAAAGATAGCTTGATGGTCAAGACTAATGGAACAATAAAGTAAAATGCTCATAGATACAAAGAGCAAGCAAAGTTTCTGAAATGGAAAGTGTAAAATTAGAATAAAAAGTATATATGCGTAAGATGTGTGCATATGAAAATACTGCAGGAATCACATCAGGAAGACAAGTGAGATAACATTCCAGGAAAAATTGAATTCTATGTACATGACATGTGACTATATCTATTTAAACATTTGAAATCTAAAATTATGAAGAGCTATTCAAGCATCTGTCAGAGAAATAAATAGTTCCTCATCAGGAGGATATCAGCTTGGCAACAGAATGTTCCACAGAAGCAAGCAAAGGTAAAATAATAGAAGCGTGTCTATAAAATACTGAAAGGGCATGCAAGTCGTGCCTGGTGTTCTCTTCGCATTCCACTGAATGAGAAAGTCTCCCGGCACTTAGAGACAATCTCAAAGGACAAAGAACTGGAGAAACAACTGTGAGCTATCCCGGTAAAGTGCTTCCTCCTTCCCAGCCAGTGGAGGGGTAAGTGAAAAGGAAAGCCAAGAAACAGAGAGGGCAGCAAGCGGGGATGCTGTAATCATTGGCTCCTTTCATACAGGGAAGAGCAGGGAACACATTCCGGTTCCAGATCAAGCCACTTTGTCTGATAGAGAAATAGATGTAAGTCAATCATTAAGCTCAACGTAGAACTGACCAGAAGTAGGAAGACCCGATGAACCATTACAAAGTCAACCTAGGAATATCTGATTTTGCAATAGCTAATGTGAGTTGACAATTCCTATGTTAGACAGCACAAACCTCAACCAGTTCAGTGTTCCCTTGGGCTGTGGCTAGTGAAATCTTTTCTAATACTCTCCTGTCAAGAACAAAGGCCGTGTTTGAGGAGTCAAGGTAGAAAGCTCTCAGAGTTGGGTTGGAAGCTTCTGATGTCAGTCTCTGGCTTTGTTTATTGTTTATCCCACGAACCATAAACACTGGAGCCACCCAGTCTAAAGGCCATACCGAGGCTCTGTAGTGGATGGTTAGCAATTTTCTGTTGCCGTGATTAAACAACAAGCAAACAACCCGATGGAAGAAAGCTCTATTTTGGATGGCAGTTTCAGAGGCACCAGTCTGTGCAGAACTGGCTTCATTACCATGGGTCTGTATTGAGACTGAAGTACGTGGTAAGGTAAACATGCTCACCTCACGGTGGTAGAAAAGCAGAGGCAAAGAGGAAGGAAAGAGTGTCAAGACAGACCCTTATGGCAATACCTCCAGTGATGCACTTGCTCAATGAGGTCCTGCTTCCTAAGAGCCCACTCAGCTGTGAGCTCGGTCCATTGAGGAGGTGAGCATCCTCACAATTAAATCATTGCCGAATAGCACCAGCAGTTGGGGTTCAGCCTTCAATATCTGAGCTATTTATGGGGACAGTTTGTATCCAAACCTTAAAGAATGAATCCCTAACCTAGATAATGTATTGACATACAAAGCAGAAAAGTATGCAACGCGGAAGGGCAGAGTTGGATTACTCTCCTTCCCTAAAATGAGAAAAATACACATAAGAAAATATGGCTGGTGAGATGGCTCCATAGGAAAAGGCAGTTGCTGAAAGACAGACAGATGGGTAATAATAATGATAATAACAGAATAAAGTTTTGAACACAGCATGATTCACATGAAGCCCTTACACATACTTCAGTCTACCATGTGCACTGAAGAATAAAGAACATGGCATGCTTGTGCCCCCAAAGAGGGCACAGGAGCTTGGAGGAGATTTAAAATCAAGGTGAAGTTGTGAGGAAGGATCGTCAATAATTTACTTAGATCTGTAGATTCTTTTTACCATTTCCTGCATATCTGTGGTGCAGCTTGTATGCTTATATTTATATATATTTTACTAGGGGACTCCTCAATGGCTTCTGGGGCTTTCTTACTTCTTTTGCTAAAAGGTGTAAATGGTAAACCTAAATAAATATCCTCCCAACTCTGGGCCAAGGACACATTGGCATGGGGACTCTGCACAGCTTCCTTGCTCTTGTGTGGACGAATGTAAGAGTTATAAACATAGGCAGAGCTGCCTGTCCCCAGCAGTTTCCTCGTAACTTTGCCCCAGCATCTGGTTTGAGGGAATTTCCATTTGGCTATCTTTAAGTTTGTTCCATGGAACTATGTATAAGGTTAGCATACATAAGGTAAGGAACTTCTAGAGGGTCTGCTGCCACAGGACTGTAGATCACAGGGATATTTATTTAGTCAAATGATCCATATGTGATAGTTATACCAGCTGCTGTCATTTGTCCCTAAATGACACAGCACAGCACACCACTCACAAGTTGTCCTTAAAAAGGACATCCTGTCCCCCCACCCCCACCAGAGAACAGGTTGGTGTAGAGAACTCTTGTTGCTTTAGCGCTGCATCTTTCTAATAAAGGAGTGATTTTCAATTGTTTTAGTAAGAGAACTCCTTATTCTTCCCACGATGGACTTGTGAGCAAGAGGCCAACAAAGAGAAGCTAGAGATTAATCCAGAGGGAGATATGAGTGGCATATTGTAATGCTGGAAGCAGGAGATACCATTGAGGGGATGCTACATTCACTGCATGGATTACCAGCAACACTCAACGAAGAGCTATGATGAGAACGAATGAATGGCTTGCAATTTTGGATGTGTAGGCCACCCCCTCCAAATCCTTTTTCCCTTTCATTTTTGCTATGAAGTCCACAACATCCAACTCTATTGACAACCACAAGCAATAAATAAATAAATAAATAAATAATCTTTGTTTAAATGGATGGAAGAGACTACACTTGTTGACCTTGACCTGGACTTGTGCAAAGAGCACCAGTTACCTGCCCTTAGGTTATAGCAAACCTACCTGGCACCCATGGCTTCCAGTACAGGCCACCAAAAGCTAGGCAAAGGTAGAAGAGCCTCCAGAAACAAAACCAAAGGGAAAGAGAAACTAGGGCCACAGGTGAACACGGCATAACCACACAGTTAGTCTGTGGTAGGTAGCTTAAAAAAAAGTTGGCATGTTTTCTTTTTTCTCTTTTTGAAAGACAGGGTGGAGTCAGTTGCCTTAGGCAGTCAAAGGAGGGGCTAGAGAGAGGGAAGAGCCCTTATCAGAAAAGAGCCAAGCACTGTTGTTGACATAGTGCCCACAGTGTAGAACAGAGTTCACAGCTAGAGGCCAATAATCCCGGACGTTTGCAGTTGCTGGCGCCTCGCTGCTGTGTAATCTTACGGTCTTGTTCAGAGGTAACAACTCAGTCTGGGTTCACAGGAAGTAGTTAATTTCTGACGTTATTGACAGCTCCTAAAAGACCCTCCAGACGAGCCCTTCTTCAAGCATGACAAAAATTCCTCCGTAAACCCCCTAGACATGCAGTGGTCAGCATCGTTAAAATTAACCAAGGGGATTCAATTAAAGAGTTCGTAAGTGGTCCACACACCTCTTTATCTCTCACAAACCCTTTGAGTAGCACTACTCGTGTGTTCGTGACTAATAAGGAAATAGTACTAAACGGCTCTTGAAATCTCTCTAAAAGAACCTGCTGTGGCTGCCAGCCACTTGAACAAAACTTTGTTAGAATCACCTGTGTGCTACAAAGTATTTATAGCATGGGTTCCAAGTCTGTGCCACCCAAACTTCCTCAACAACCTCAGGATTGAAAACTCACAGCTGAGTTATGCTGTTTTCTCCTGGTCTATCTCTTAGGAGAGGGGGGAACCCCGATCTCCAAGTCTATCTGGGAGAACCCACTTACCCAGCTACTACGACCGCAGCCAGGAAGACCAGGAAGCAGGCTGAGAGGTCTGCAGAGGAAGTGATTTTATTGGCTGTCCAAGTTGATCCGTCCCCCTATGCCTGGCGATAGCCAGGCCAAGGATCTCTGGGAAATGTAGTTGTAAGGCCTCAACTGCACCCCCCCCCCTCCGCCCCGGGCAAACTCTCAAGTTTGAAAAGGGGGGAGCTATCTTGTGAAGGGTCTTGGTATTTCTCAGAGTTCACACTCTGTCGGAGCCTGTGGGAGGTCAAAGCTTGAGAAGGGCGCAGGCAAAGCAGATCCAGGACATAGAGGAGGAAGCGATGGCCACATCTCATTCACACTCCCAGTAAAGGAATCCCCTTCTATTGATATGTTTCCCTTTTTTCTTTCTTTCACCTCTCACCTTCAGGTCCTTCTGCTTCTCTCGCAAAAGCACTGTGGAACGTATATGACGTGTCCGTACCTGTGTTGCACACAGGGCACGTGCTGTATGGTTGTATTTCAGCGGTCTTTGATTTATAATGATAATGGTGGAAAATGCTCGCTGCTTCTTAGCTGTTTCCCCTGTCCACTGTATTTTAAAGACTCTTCAGCATCAATCCTCTGTGTTATCCCTTTGGCTCATACTATTCATATATTCTGGGTAAACAGAATAGATTCTTAAATTTAAGCCTCTGGGGGCGGGGCTTGAGGAGGAGGGGTGAGTTACAGAACCTGTATCTCCACTTTCTGTCTGCTCAGCCCTGTCACTCTGAGGCATGCAATGCCTCTCAGTGTGCTTCTGAGGGATTGTGCTTCCTTTGTTGATGACAACGATTTGTTTGCAAACAGCTTACTTATTTTCATTCCTGCACTAGCACTTCCCAACTATTATATTGCTACAAGCAACCAACCAAAACAAAAACACACAGAAAAATTGCAATGCTGTGGCCGCTGCCTGTAGTCCTGGCACTTGGGAAGAGAAGGTAGGACAATCAAAAACTCAAGGCCATCCTGAGTTACGTGGCAAGTTCAAGACCATTCCCCAAAGACAAACCAAAACAAATTCCTCCTGTGGCCATATAACCTGTACATTTGGTAATATCCTGGCCCATGCTTTTCTGTTAACCTTAATATGATCATGACCAATTGAAGACTGAAGGATACTGGATTCTCCCGTGTTAGCCAGAGCCCTGGCAGTGGAATCTACATGGAGGGGAGTATTCAAGAGCACCCTGGGCTGGATTACCGGGGAGTAATGGGTTTATTGGAAGAGTTATTAGCATCATGGGTATATAGACCAAGGGGCAGTAGGGCTCCAAGGAGACTTCAGGCCTCAGCTCCAGGGACAGGCAGCATGGTGGGGTCTCTGAAGAGAACAAGAATCTATGTGGTAGAGGATGGGGAACGTTCTCAGCAAGAGCCTGCAGCCAGGATTTCTGATTCCCAAGCAGGAGTCCAGGAAGGGTATGGGGAGGAGGATGTATAACATCTATAGTGCCAAGGCCAATGCTTCTCTTGATGTTAACTGGCGCTGGGACTGCCTGTTAGCTAAGGGCTCACATAAAGGAGCCTTGTCAATCAGTACCCGTCGCTATGGAGTGAAGGTTGCTGCAAGCACGGTGGCCTGAATAGAGGCTGGATTCCAACACGACACTCTTAGAGAAACCAGCCAGAAAGCATGGTACAGAGAAGTTAAAGGTTCAGATTTGGGGGCACAAGCCAGACTGTACGCCTCTGGCATCTGTTCTCATCAAGCATGCCGTAGGCAGCTCACAATATGAACAGAATTTTAACAGGAGTGAAGAAAAGAAAGAGGGAAAGACTTAGAAATAATTGCCAAATCCCAGAGCAAAATAATTTTGTGTGGTAGTGCTGTAAACTAAACTCTCGGCTTCCAGTATAGTGGGCCTGTAGACTAATCCTAACCCTACATTTGTCTTCTTTTTGTCGGGGACAGAATATATATGCCTCAAACTTAGTTTTATTTCTTGAATCAGATCCACAGTTCTACCCAGGCATGTGCTTAGGGACTGAACTCTGAGGTTCTCTAAGAGCCATGTGTGTTTGCTTGCTTCTCTTGAGCTTAAGTGGAGAAGGGAGTAGGGATATTAGACAAGGAGGAAAGGAATATATACCTTACGGATGGCATATTGCTTATCATATCCCAGTATTTCCAAGAAACCTTTGACTCAGATGATATTAGCCAACACTACTTTAATAGAGTTAGCAATCAATATACGTCATAAACAATGTGTTCCCAGTAACATATATTTTATAAATCACCTAATTCCAAATATCAGTGTTCCCATAGCTTTAAAAAAAGTATCAAATACAAACAGACGTGTGCCACAAAATTAACCCTGGAAGAAATTCCACGCCATGCCATTATCTTGGCAGTTACTCATAGAGCCCCATGCACTGGCTTGAGTTTTGTCTTGGGGACTAGGAAGTTGCCTGGAACTGAACTGATGACTCATTCTTGTTTGCTTTATTCTGATCCTAAGTTGTGAAGGTGGCTTCTTGTATACCTTGGTCATCAGATTTATTCTCGCTGAATTTAACAGTTGTGTTTATTCATACTGAACTACTAGTATAAGTTTTATGTGAGTTCAACTATAACATAATGTTTGAAGGTTTTCTCTTGCAAGTGAATATGGCTCCCAAGATAACCACATCTTCATTAAGAATTTTTTGTATGATTAATCTTCAAAAGGATTGTGATTATATTCATTAAAATTTTATTTAATTATAACTGATTATATTTTTCATGGTAAAATGACAGGACCACTAGGATTTCTTTTCATAAAATGTAGGAAATAAAAGATACAAATCATTAGTTGATCAATATCAAGTTCAGTGACGATCCTATAAGGACTGTTTTAGATACATCTGCATACGTTTCAAATGTTGAAGAACATGAAATAATAATGAAAACCAATTTTACTCCTCACCCTAAATAGTAAAAGACAGGTCACCATTTTTGGGTACAAGCTTTCTCTCCAAAGAAACACCAAATTCAGCTTTCAGTACGTCTTCTATTTCTCCCTCATTTACATTCTTAAACTCCACCAGATCTACATTGTCCTTATAGCTGAATTTCCTTCTTGCAAAGGTAGAGCCTATTAAACAACAAACACCTTCTGGGGTCTGCAAAGAACAAAATGAAGTGTGTACAAATACAGATGTTGATGATGTCTGGAGGTAGGTATTTACATATTCAAAGTCCTCAATAGTGCGCGGCTTCAGAGTGAACGAGTAGACTTTCCGATATTCGCTCTTCTCAAGGAGGTCGGAGTTAACAAATTCTTGGTTTGGGACATACTGCTCTCTTCTGATTTGGTCCATGTACCAGGTTCCATTCTCTTCCGTCAAACGGAAGATGGCAGGCACCTGAGGCTGATCCTTCCCTGATGCTAATTCCAGAGGTTCCCACATCTGGCAGGAGCCTCCAAAGGCCGCATCGACAATGTAGCTCCTGTCACTGATGGTCACCTGGACTAGGAGGTGAATCATTTCTCTGCTGTATTTATTGACTGGAACTATGTAAACATATCCCCCCAACATTGTGGTTTCAAAGCCCATTTCGGTCAGAGCCCAGTACAAAAGATGATTAACCTGGAGACACCACCCGCCCCGCTTCTTCCTCACTATTTGGTCAAATGTGGTCTCTAAGTCCAAATTCATGGCTTCTCCACAATGCATGTTAAGATTCTCAAAAGGAACTGTTCGTATCTGGTGCTGAAGAACTTCAGTTAGTGTGTCCAAGTCCAGTTTATTCGCTGAGTTCTTAAAATCAATCCTTTCAAAATATGCTGCGATGTCCATGGTCCCCTAAGGCAAACAACATGAAACCAAACAAACATTACAGCAGTTCCTTGTGGATGTCCTGGAGTCAGCTTACCGTAGCTAGAATGTACTATTAATATGCATGTATAAACAATGCCTGTACATGTCTCATCAATAATCATATTGTTTCTACTGCATTACTGGCTTTTATCTGCAGGTCATCAAATATTCCCAGTGACCCTTGAAGGAGAGCTTTGCTATTTATTGTGTTTTCAAGATTTTGAAGTTAGAAAGTCAGATTAAATGAGCAGTCAAAAGTCTAACAGTTTAGATGTGGTCTCCTTGGTGGTATGGTAGACATTGCTGCTGGCACCCTGTAAAAATAAACTTCTAAACAATTATTCACTGTGGTGGTTTGAAAGAAAATTACCCCCACATGGAGTGGCAATATTAAGAAGTGTGGCCCTGTCAGTAGAAGTATGTCACAGTGGGGGCAGGCTTTGAGGTCTATTTCTCAAACTTCCTTCCACATGACAGTCAGTTGACTTCCTGTTGCCTTCTGGTCAAGATGTAGCCAGCACCACATCTGCCTGCACGCTGCCATGCTCCCTGCCATGTGGATAATGGGCTGAACCTCTGGAACTGTAAGATACCATCTCAATGAAATGTTTTCTTTGTAAGAGTTGCTATGGTCATGGTGTCTCTTCACAGCAATAAAAATCCTAACTAGGCCATTCATGAACATGGAGAATTGTGTAGCAGAGAACACAGTGGCCATGCCGAGTGATCCACTCCACCAACTCCATTAACTGAATGTGATGCACAAAGCTACCTACTCAAAGATTTGCACTGATGGACCGACTCACTCCTTCATTCAATAAGTGGTTTACTAACACCTTCGAGCTGCCCACTATTGATCTAGCATTTCCTTGCCTTCTAAAACTTTGCATTTTAGTGGGCAATAAAATAATATACATAAAGTGAACGGAGTAAAGTTTTTTTGGTTTTGGTTTTTTTGAGACAGGGTTTCTCTGTAGCTATGGAACCTGTCCTGGAACTAGCTCTTGTAGACCAGGCTTTCCTCGAACTCACAAAGATCCGCCTGCCTCTGCCTCCCGAGTGCTGGGATTAAAGGCGTGCACCACCACCACCTGGCTGAGTAAATTTACTTTTATAAAACAATGTGGTAAACTGTCCACAGGATAACTAAAATAAGAAAGAGGTACAGGGAAAGCTCTTCTCTGAAATAATGTGGACAAAGCAAGCCTCACTCACATGTGAAGGATGCTACACAAAGAGACTGTGGGTATATGCGCAGAGGGTGGTTCCTAGCAGAAGGAATAGAGAGTCTTCGGTGAATGTTCTAGAAAGCCAGGTTGACTGTGGAAGACATGTGAGAAGAGTGGACTGAGATGAGCTCTGGCTCTTATCAATGACTTCATGGCTAGTGGGGACCCGGTGAGCTCTACTGAAAATGAGATGAGAGTATCAGTCACAGAAGGTTTAGAGGAGAGTTAACACCGTGACAATATTTGATGTGCTCAAAATCAGTTTTCTGAACTACTATCAATGATCAAATGCAGTCAATAGTGCTAATTCAAAACAATGACACTCAAGTGCCAGTGTCTGACATGTGCATCAAATGCATCAGTGAGATGTTAGTGAGAGGCTGATGTTTTGTAGCAGGGCAAAATCTCCTGAAATGATGGGGAAAAACAGCAACAAAGACTGTGGAAGGGAAATGAAGAAGTGGGTGCTAATGCTATTAGCTGACAGGCGACACGGACTCCCCACTAACCCACTTCCATCAGTCTGTTTAGAAGGGGTTGGTAACCTGCCACCCAAGAACCTTACTTTGATGAGACTCTGAATAGGAGAGAACACAGGCCCTGAGTGAAACCCTTTGCAATGTAGTACCCGCAGGGAGGACACGGTACACTGGCCATCGGTCAGTGGTGATCACTGAAGGCTTTATCTGTCACGTGGTTACAGCATTTCCCTTTGTCACGCAGCTACCCTTCCCACACTCTAAGGTTCACACCTTCTCTCCCTAGTTTAACCATCACCCTTCTTTGGCATTTGGACAACCTCTAAAATCTATTATTCAGGCCTAGAAAGAACAAGTGGTGTTTGTCAGAACAGCCTAAACTCTCCCTGGCCCCTATCCCAGAATCTGCACTAAGTATGTTAGGAAGAGAGAGGAAGATTAAACCAAATGGGAAAGCGTAGTTAGCCAGCATGCTTTGTACTAGGAAATTATATTTCTTTATAAGTGCGATCTTTATATGTAAGGCTTTCATCATCCCTATCCCTGTCTACTCCCTTCTTCCCCCACACATCTTCCATGACATTAACAAAAGTCTCCTGTAAGATAAAATGCCAAACTGTATTGATTGAAGCTCCATCAGAATGAAATTTGCTAGGGACCTCGATACTAGTGACATCTTGTAACCAGTCCATACTTTGGGTAGCCTGTGTCCAAGCATATTTTAATTACCTATGATTGAAGCTGAGATTTCAAATGAAATGCTGAAAACACTTATAAACTAGTTGCCAAGAAACTCCTAAGGGAAACACGGCTGAATCCACATGATGACTGCAGCATCCCCATGAAGCAGCCGACCCCTTCCTTTCCACTTCCACATTAACATGAGAAGACTAAACGCAGGTGGAAGGAACACAGTCAGGGGCGCCTGCTGAGAGTTATCAGGCTCTTCGTACCTGTCCTGGTAAGCTTAATGTGGGCTGATTGTCAGGTTTAGCTCAGGCGTTGTAGGCTGTTTCTTCTTCTTGTGAAAACTGTAGAAATAATTAAAAATAGCTTCAAGTATATATAATAGTTTTTCTTTTAAAAACACCATCTTTTTACCTCTATGTGTCTGTGTGTGCCTTCTTGAGTTTATGTGCACCACATGCCCATAGGCAGCTATAGAGGCAAAAAGAGGGCATCAAATCCCCTGGTTGTGAGCGCTGGGAACTGAACCCAGGGTCTCTGTAAGAATGCTGTTATTAATTGCTGAGCCATTTCTCCAGCCCCAACAGAGTTCCCCTTAAAAACAAAATGGTAGTTTGATATGGAACACAAGTTCTGAAAAAAAAATCCCTAAATATTTTGAACAGAGGGAGTGGGCAAAATAGTGAAGGGGGCATATGATATACACAAGGACATTCATCCAAAGGATTATTATGGGAGCTGGTAGCACCATGACAGTCTCTGAGTTGTGAGGTCGAGAAGTCATGAGTCATCTACCAGCCAACCAGATGCCCAGTTGCCATGGGACAGCAAGGATACACCAACACCAGTAAGCAGCCACAGAGCCTCACCTTCCTGCAGGACATGATTATATTTGGAAATGCTGGAGCAGGAAAACAAAGCAATTTATTCATAGAGGTGGAGAATATAAAAGTCACCACTTACACAGAGAATCTCCACAAAAAAGTCTCTTGTCCACGTCATTGACTTTCCCTTCCTCTGGCAAGACTGAGGAGTCCGAGCCTAGCAACCGTCAAATGTCACACCAGCCGCAGCAGACTTGAGAAGGACACATAGAGCAGAGAGACAGATATATGACCACAATGACAAACAGAGAAAAAGACACCTGGCTACTGGGGGAGGAAGACAAGACAGACACGCAAAGAAAGTTCCAGACCTAGAAAGACAAGCATTGGAACCATTAGAAGAAGAAACGGAACAATAGAAAGAATATTCTTACAGGTATTTGACCGTACAGAATCTTAATAACCAAAAGTTAAACATAACCCAATAAAATGCCAGGTTTGGGGCTAAGAGACGGTTTAGTCTGTAAAGTGCCGGCCATATAAACATAAGCACGGACCCAAGTGCAAATCCAGAACACTGAGGATGGATCTGTAACCCCAGTTATGGGGCGGGGTGGGGTAGGGCCTGGGGATAGATGGATTCCTGGTGTTCACTGTCCAGTCACCCTAACCAATCAGCGAACTCCAGGTCTAGTGAGAGACCCTGTCTCTAAAACACAGGTCGACGGTGGCTGAAGAAGACACCTGAGGTCAATCTCTGGTCTCTGCATCCACACAATGAACACGTGCCAAATGAACCCATACTTAAGCAAGAGGGTGAGGTAACTTTCTTTAGCATTTTGGACTTCACCCATGGCCCTATTGCTTTGAATCTGTGGTGGCAAAATGCGACATGGTAAGATCGTGCGGTGTACAAAGTTGCTTAATCTGTTCACTCTGGAAAACAGAGATGGGGGGGAGGAGCAACCTCTGATAAGCCTCATCAAAAACGCACCCTCCATGGCTTGAAAGGTCTGTGACCTTCAAATCAGAGCAGGAGCTGCCATAAAACCTATAGCAAAGCACCTACAGTCCTTATTCACACCACAGTGCTCTTCCCTCGGCTCCTCTTACAACGCAAAGTTTATCTTCTCCATCCCAAGACCTCTAAAGCTTAGCTGTCCAGTATCACTCAGAAGTCCAAGTCAGAATTCTCCCCCGAGACTCCAGGCTGCTGAGCTGGGAGCCACTGTGAAATCTTAAAGGAGTTACATGTTAATAAACAACGACCCAGAGTTAGTGTTCTCTTTCCAAAGGAAGGATATAGGGCAATACTAAGGAACTATGAAACCAAAGGAGACCAACATTCCCGTAGAGCAGAGAGTAAGCCCTCCGTGAGCAGTCCATCACAAGTGTCGACAGCTGACTCCTGGGCAGGAAATCCAGTTTTTAAAGACAGGCTAGCCTTTAGACAAGCGTTTGCTTTCCTAAATTTTAAACACTGTGCTGTCTTTTGATTAGAGGACAGAAAGAGCACGTTCTGGGAGTACAATGGTTTCCCCACCAATGAGATGCAAAGACCACAAGACCCACCAGAGGGTTTGAAAACTAAGTAAATACCACGGATTGAGGTACTGTGACCAGCGTTTACACTCCCTTGTCCAAGTTCTCTGCAGTAGTTGATTTGATTCACTTTTTAAGTTATTTCAACAGAAAAGCCACACAGTCATGCATAGCTACTTGATGGCCATTTTGGCCATTCGGGGATTTTTTTCCTTCAGCTTATCTAACCCTTTGGTTACAGATGACCCTCGTCTCCTGGGCCCTGGCCTATAATCTGTCCTGTAATATTCTTGGCAAATATTATTTTCATGCAAGTCAGACATTCTTCTTCCAACTCCAGAGCAGCATTGACTCGCAGGTGTTATTAGGACCAGATGTTTCCAGAGGTTTAAAAAAAAAACTAAAGAAATATTACTGGTCAGGACATCTAGAGCAGTGTTCCTCCCTCCTGGTCTCCTTTTACTGGAATCGTTGATTCTGTTCATTAATATTTTAGTCATTCTTTGCAAAGTTACAATACTGTGCAAAGAATAGGAAAACAAGACAATTTTACAAAGTAGAGCCAATTTCAAACAAGGTGCCCTAAGATGCAGTGGTAACTTTCCCTTACAGTACATCTCCATGTCCAGGATGTGGGCTCCTCAGACTTGAGAAACCCCACGCCCATGCCAGCTTCTCCCGAAGCAGCTCTGCTGCATACTGCAGCTTCCTCTCACAGGGGATTTTACAGTGCAGCTTCTCTAAGTTCCTGGGTGTGTAAGACTTTAAGACAATCCTGAAGCCATTTCTGACAGTTCTGAATCCTCTCAGCCTCTGTGCCATAGTGCTTCCCCTCCTCCCCTGGGAACCAAGGACCTAACAGCTACACTCGCACGTACTCAGTTCCTGAACAAATACCCATATATGTATGTTTTGGTTCGGTCCCCTGGGAAACGGGGTCAAAATGACCTCTTACCTCATCTGATCTGGCAACAGCTCTCCAGTCAATTATGGGTAATAGCCCTTTCAAATAAGCCAATCAGAATAGTCAAAGAACAACCCCCCCTGCTTCTGTGACCCCTTTAAAAGTAAACTGTACCTGCTATTTGAGGTCCCTCGGTTTCCCGAATGCTGGGGGGCCCTGTCATGACAGAATTAATAAAATCCTCATGCTTTTGCATCGGCTGCGGTGTATGAGACAGTCTCTGGGGGCGACTCCTTCTCGGTGTTTGGACGCTAGAGTCCAACAGGTGCCCAATGCAGCCAAGCTTCCTTCCAGCAGATCTAAGAGGAAGTCTGCCAGGCTCTGCTTACACTGGTCCTCCCCTTCCACACACTGCCCAACCTCCCAGGACTTCTTTGGAAATCTGAGTCAAAATCTTTATGCCTGTGCCTCTGCTTTTATTTTTAAATCTCTCTCTCTCTCTCTCTCTCTCTCTCTCTCTCTCTCTCTCTCTCTCTGTCTGTCTCTCTCTCTCCCTCTCTCTCTTTCTCTGTGTGTGTGTGTGCGCCTGTGGACCTCAGAGGACAACCTAAGAGAACCCGTTCTTTCCTTTTACCATAGGGTTTCTGGGTATGGAACTCAGATCATTAGGCCTGGTGGCAGTCACCCCACGCCACCCACTCAGCAGTCTTGCTAGCCCACATTCTTACATTTTTATTTGAAAGACCAGAATCACCTCAAGACACTAAGGTCTGCCACTGGTGCCCATTAGACCCACAGAGAGACTGAGCTTCCGTTGTTAGCAGTTTAAAAAATCATGAGGTAATCTAAGAAGGTTCCAGAGAAACACAAAGACAGAAAGACTTCCCGAGACATCCTTTATTATCAAAAGATTCTGCCCTAGAAAATATTAGAGGCAATTTTTCATCCTTACAACGTTGAGATTAAAGAGATGGTGATCTAGCTCTTTCCAGGGATGTCCCCAAGGTGTCTTTTTTATTGTTCCAGTGAATTTTTATGAGACCCCCCAGAACTGTACCTCTTATTCATAAAACTTCATATATGCGCCTGTCATGGCCAAATTACAAGTTTTCCACACCTTGCAGTATTGTTTCTCACTGAGCTCAGGTCCACTGTCTGGCTGCAATCACTCATGACATCTATGTCACTTCCTGAAGTCTGTGTTGTCTTGCAATCTCCTCCATCTAGTGAGTAATCCAGTCAGCTCCAAACTCACCCTAACACACAGCCTCGGGAGATCATCTGACATGGCGTGACCTGGGTGGCTAGTCTAATCCCCAGCAGATCCTTCCTTCCTATCTGAAGCCCCAGGAGCATATCACTGCCCACATTTCCATTTGTATTTGGCTCTTCTAAGACCACAATGGTCACATGTTAAGATCTGCGTGGCGATCTCTTAGCATTGTCTAGAAAGCATCTCCAAACTCCCCGAAACTCATGAGGCAAATCCCAAGGCCTCTGAAACACACTGACACAGTAGTGGCAGGGAATCCTCAACCCTCAAATTTGTTTGCTCTTAGTCAGTTACATCTCCTGCAACAAAATATCTGAGGTAAGCAATTAAAACTAAAGGATGCTTTAATTTATAGCCTAGTTTTGAGCTGATGGTCCCTTATGCCCACTGTGTTTGGGCCCGACAGGAGACCACCCTTCATCGAAAGCAGTGTTTGGAGGAACAAGCATTAGGGAAGGAAGTCAGAGAAAGAGGAAGGTGGAGGTTTCAGGATCTTGCTTAAGGGTGTGCCCCACACTTGCAAACTGACTGTGAAGTTGCCTGCAAGGCTCTACCATCTCCCAGGGGCAGAGCAGGCTTCAGACCACAGATTTAGCACATGCATCTTTAAGACCATAGCATCTCATGTCTAAGAGATGCTTTATAGTCACACTGAGGGCCGATAAAAGACAACTCGGTACCAGAGCAGAAGAGAAGCAGAAGAGAGAAGACAAGCCCCTTCATACCATGGAGGAGGAGAAAGGAAAAGTGGGGCAGAAAGTGTATGTGAGGAGAAACACAGGCATGTTGGGAATGGAAAAGAAAAAAGAAGAAGCTGGGCCCTGATAAGAAGGACACAGCTCTGGAAAAGTGTGGTGCTGCAACACGTTGTCATTGCATTCGTGAAATGCAGAGGAAAAGAGACCTGCCTCAGCATGCAGCAAAGATAGAGAGCACTTCATGAGAAGGGAGTTCTCCGTCCAGCACCAGAATGTTCCACAGGCGTGTTTGGAGGGGAAGTAAGGAAAACTCCATCTCCAAGGTAGTGAGGGAAGCTACTGTCCTCACACACCGCACAGTGAGGAGTTCGTGAAGGGGGTGGGGACAGGTGTGCAAAGATCTCAAACCTTACAGAAGTGAGAAGAGCAGTAACTCTAAACAGTCCCAATGAAGTCCTTCCTCTCCATCGCAGGGAGCACAGCAAAGGCCTGCTGCCAAGGGGTGGTCACTGTGCCTGCTGGCAAGCCTCGTTGTCTTTTAGGGAACAGAGAAGTAAAATACTGGAGCAGGAGCGATGGCTAAATGGTAAAGTCCATTGACTGCTCCTCCAGAGGATCCAGGTTCAGTTCCCAGCAGCCACTTAGCCATGCATAATCACCCCCAATTCCAGTCCTAGGGTATCTGATACCCTCTTCTGGCCTTAGCAGGTACCAGGCATGTATATGGTGTACAAATATGCATGCAGAAAAAACACCCATCTGCAGGAAATAAAGTAAAAATGATGGGCTAGCAGTATAGCACAGCTGGTTGAGTGCTTGCCTAGAATGCATGAAGCCCTTGGCTGCATCTCCAGCATGGCAGAAACGAGGTGTAGTCTATGTCTGTGATGCCACCACTCATGAAGTAGAGATAAGAGGATGAGGAATTCAGGTTCAGAGCCAGGGAGTACAAGGCCAGCCTGGTACCTGTGAAACCCACATCAAAACAAACAAACAAACACACAAACAAACAAAATCAAAAATGATACCTGAAGACTACAAAAGACCAGAACTGAGCCGGGCGGTGGTGGCGCACGCCTTTAATCCCAACACTTGGGAGGCAGAGGCAGGCAGATCTCTGTGAGTTCGAGACCAGCCTGGTCTACAAGAGCTAGTTCCCAGGACAGGCTCCAAAACCACAGAGAAACCCTGTCTCGAAAAACAAACAAACCAAAAACAAACAAAAAAACAACCAAAAAAAAAAAAAAAAAGACCAGAACTGGAAAAATCTGGTCCAGTACTGTCACACTGGAACTATCGAAAGATAGCTCATTTGAGCAGATAGCAATTGAGAAAGTAAGCCAGAGGCATTAGATCCCATGCAGTTCTAGAAAAGACAAAAGTGCAAAGGAAATACACTCGATTAACTGAAGAAGATGGTCCAGAGACTCCAAGGCTTCCGACTGGAAGCATGCACTCCAGTGGCTTCTCAAAAGTCGCAGGACAGAACTTACCTGATTAAATGGCTGCAGCCTAGGCTAAAGAGTGATTAGCTATAATGAAACAGGGAGGGTTGGAGCTGTTAAGAAGCTGGCGAGTACACTCCTTGCCCAGAGCAATCACAAAATACTTAGAAAGCACACAGCCCAACTCACATGAAACCGCTCAGAACTGACGGCCTCTCTGCCTCCAGGGCGGGCACCGACATTAAGCAATCAAGCGGTGGAAACCAAACTCCTAAGGCACCAGAGATCGGGCAGAATTTAGGGTGGAGTCGTTCTTTGGACTGATAGGGGGTGGAGTGGGGAGGAACTTAGAGAAAGAAAACTGCAGCTCAGAAAAGGCCCAGGAGGTTTGTTCTGGTAGTCACCTGACCCATGAGGCAGAAGCAGTTCAGAGCAGAGGACAAGGCCCCTTCTTCTTGGGGCTCTGTACTGTGGAAGGCTCCTTGCCGCTATAGAATTCTGGACTGTGCTCAGGGCTGGCTTCATAGTCTGATGGAAAATGAAGTTGATAGTTTGTCCTTGATGGCTCCTGGAGGCTCTTTCCCCTGTTCTTTCCAGCATGCTAGAACTCCGCTGGACAACACAGATGCACCACCTAACGAGGCTGGACATTTGGGGCCATTGGGAGAGTTTTCCTCAGCTACCGCAGACTGAGTCACTCCCCCGTTAACTGCGCCCTTTAGGACTTTCCCTGTTGGGGACAGAGGACTGGTTCCCCTGAGGGAAATACAATTGTAACAGTTCTCTGTGAAGATACCTACTTAACCCTGACAACCTTTTAAGCAAGCACCCTCATTTTACTGTTAGGAAATAGAGTTTTAGACAATCTAAAAGAGTTACTCAAATTTTCACTGGTAGAATGTATCCTGACAGTGATTGTCACCCAGAGGATTTGAGCCAAGCATCCCTCGTACAAGTGATGCTCACCCTTCATAATGCTGCAGTTCTCTAAGTTCCTCATGCTGTGGTGACCCCCAACCGTAAAATTATTTTCGATGCTACTTCATAACTGTAATTTAGCTTCTATTATGAGTCGTAATGCAAATATCTGATATGCGACCCAAAGGGGTCTCGACCCATATGAGTACCACCCATGTTCTGTGAATAATTATAACAACTTTAGAACTTGCCGTTCAGGCCTGGGTAGACTTCGGCCTCCTGGTCTTCCTATGAAACCCGTGCTGCCAGACTTTCCAAGTGCTCTGCAGGTGGTCAGGCAGCCGGGCAGCTCAGCTCACGGGGTACACCCGGCCTGTCACCAGGAAGTGGTGGCCGGCTGTCCATGCCTAGAGAGGGAGTGCTCATTGGCTGTCCAACTGCCCTGCCCCCAAGGCTCTCTGGGAACTGTAGTTTATGGGCTTCTGGGTTTTCTATTCTGAAGAGTGTGCAAGCCTCAGAGAGGGCTCTCGGCCTTTCACGTTGGTCCTGCCCGCTGCGAGCCTGAGATCAGACTATTCTGATGGAAGGTCAGAGCAAGGGGAGGGGCCCGGCAAAGCAGATCCAGGACCTAGAGAGGCAGGAGACGCTGGTGTATTTTATTCCCACTACCAGCTACGATGGTCTTATTTTTTCCAGTTTCCATCTTTTCTTCCCGAACTCACTCCCATTTACATCTCTACCCAAAGGCAGCAGGCAATGTCAGAAATATATCTATGGGTGTGGTGTGTGTGGCGTCAGAGCCACTTCGCTACGTTTGCATTTTCAAATTACAGTAAAGACATTAGTCTTCAATTCTTGATGCTTCTTATATAACAAGGATGGGAAGGTCTATGTTTTAAATATATAAATTTATGTATCCTAAATATATAATATACATATTATATTTCTATAAGGTGTAAATGCAACCTATACTTACACTATATTTACATATAATTTATATTAGCATACTGAAAATTAGTTTAACTAGGGCATTTTTTTAAAAAAATTGTTTTTATTGCTTCTCTCCACTCTTCTTTCTCTTCTTCCTCTCCTTCCTTGTGCCTCCCACACTCAGTAGCTTCCTTCCCATCTTCAGATAACAGAGGATCTTCCCCTCCTTTCCTCCCTTCTCAACACCTTGTCCTCTTCTCATAGACTCCTATATAATTTCATAATCTATGCCCACTGTTACATCTCCTTATTTAAATACATATAGTCGTTAAAAGTTAGGGTCTGCATATGAAAGAGAGCTTGGAATTTTTATCTTTCTGAGATTGAATTACCTCACTTAATACAATACTTTCTATTTGGACTTATTTCTCTGCAAACGATTCATAATTCTATTTTCTTTCTATAATTCCATTGTGTATATATGCCACATTTCATTATCCATGCCTCTGTTGATGGACATTCAGGCTAATTCAATTTCCTTGCTATTGTGAATACAGAATTAATAAATAATATGTGCAAATATCTCTGTGGTAAGATATAGAGTCCTTTATGTGTATGCTCAAACCTGGTCATGTGGCAGCACTCTCTTTAGCCTTTTGAGGACCCTCCATACTCATTTCTGTGGTGGCTGCACTAGTTTCTGTTTCCACCAGCAGTGGATAAGTGTTGTGTTGATGTTCCTGGCATCAAATGTCCTGGGCATTCTTATCATTTCCTGGTGAATAACCTGGAACTCTCTTGCCTGTCTAGGTGTAGCACACACACACACACACACACACACACACACACACGCACGCACACAGCACACACACACACGCTCCTGGTGCAGCAGCACACCCGAGAATAAAATGAGCTGTAGGATGCACGTCGGCATTTCCTCTCTGTTCACTTGGGGACATTCTGAGACTTGCACAGCACTTTCTCTTGGTGTTGTTCAGAGTGATTTTTGCCTCCTTTGTCAACAGATGACCTCCAACAATGCACCCTCTGTAGGGTTAGTGATACTGCCCTGGTCTCTGTGTCTCCTCCTCCACCAGTGCTTCCTTCAATCGATTTTAAAATAAGTTGCACATTGCAAATTGTTTTCCGAGGGTGTGGCTTTATAGGGACTAAACCTTAGGCTGTGTATTTATCTTCCCAATTAAGGTTGTGTCCCTCCTGTACCTTCTGCAAACACCAGTGTGTTGAACATGCTCTTACACGTCCCCAGAAGTAAGCAAAGGAGCGTCTCTAGGATGTACAGTTAGAATACCATCTACAGGAGGACAGAACATAGCTATATTTAAGTTCAGTCACCAATACCTTATTTCCACATTGTGTAGAAAAAGTCCTATTTAAGCCATGTTTTAATTAACAGTTTTGATTAATTAGGAATCTGCAAATGTCCACTAGTAATATATATAATATATGATATATATAATATATATAATATACATTATAGATAAGGTAGTGATATTTTACTTTCACTTCTTTGAATGCTAGTGAATCTGCACTGATTACCAATAATTAATCTCATTTCCACGGTGTGTGTGTCTGTGTGTGGGGGGGGTTAGATAGAGTCATACTGTAAAACTCAGGCTGGCCCTGAGATTCAGACCTTTTGCCCTCTCCCACAGTATATTGGGATCACAGGCTACACCACTGTGCTCAGCTTATATTTCCTTGTGTGAACTAAGTGGCACAGTTTGGCTACTTTCTGAAAATTACTCCAGACACATCATTGATGTGGGATGAATTAATTAGCAAGCACATCTAGGCATAAAGTCTTTCCCTAGTGCAGGGGCAGGAAGAGGCAGGGCTAAAATGTTCTGGAATTTATGATTCGGATTTGGTCTCCTTTTTGACCAAGAATTCAAGGTTCTTTGATGAACATGTTTCAGTTGTCACTTCCTTGAGTCTAGATAGAAATATGACACTTATATTTCATCAACTTAAACTGACATTAATGCATTTTTAATTTCTGAATTTGCAACTCTGGTTATTATCAAAGTGAATGGGCCCTTCTAGAGATGATCGGAGAAAACTGATAAGATGGTCCACTCCGAACTGTAATTAGGGCAGAGTTAGATCTGAGTCAAGGATCTTGGTGGCTGAGGACAGCAATACATAGATCAGAGGGCTGGGCTGTATCTGGGTTTGAGCCCTAGGCTATCTGGTAGACTGTTCATTTCAACTCCCCAGCCTGTCTTGAGTGCCTCAGTGATTTGCGTGTAGAGATGGAGCAGAGCTGCCACTCACATCTTCCTCACCCCAGAAGTGGGTTAGGGATGGTGGCAGGGGGATACTGGGCCTGTTGCTGCACTCCTTGAATCCCAGTGTAGGGGAGGATTTTGAATGCAAAGCCTTCAAGATATATAGCCTGGGCTATACAGCAAGACCCTCTGTCAAGAAACAACAAAAACAAATACATGAAAAATATGAAGGCTGCCATGTTTAACTTAAGAAGGGAAGGAAGGAAGGAAGGAAGGAAGGAAGGAAGGAAGGAAGGAAGGAAGGAAGGAAGGAAGGAAGGAAGGAAGGGGAAAGAAAAAAGAAAACACAAAGTCTTAGACTTAGTCTACTTTAAATTCTAGCATGCGCTAACCTATTCTCATAGTAAAGTTCTAAAGTTAGGTAGCTATGTTTCATTCTCTCATTTCTAACTGGAAAAACATAATCCTTTTCCTTTTTAAATGAGGGGACATGTGCGAACACTGGCTCCATGTTAAAGACTTCTTGCTCAATACATCTAATTTAAAAATTTGCCTCTCAGGAGAACTGGTTTCCATTCCAGTGGGTGGTTAGTGTTGTTCTTCTCTCCTCAAGAAAAATACTGAGTAAACAAAGTCAACCACCCTCTGAGAGCCATCAGCGAGCTGAGGAATGGCTATCTCAAAAAATGGACGGAGATAGACGATGAATGCACTC